AATGACTGCACCCTGATGTTGTTGAGTGTTTTGCAGAGCTCTGCGAACACTCTGTCCACACTCCTTCTAAAATACAAACATGTAGTTCAGTCATCAGATGAGGACAGAGCTGCCAGCTGTTTGTTATATAAGACCTTGTAGTTTTTTTTACATGGAGAGCTGAAACTCACATAAACAAGCTATCAACTCCTCATTTATCATTTTTTTTACCCCATCTGGAAGAAATAGGACCATTAGATTGACTTAGGTTTATCTAGGCACAGGTTTACCTACTCTATGTAAAATGTGAATAAACAGTGTTAAAATATCCAACCTGCATTCCACAACAAACTCAGGCCAAACACTACATGTGATGCTTAGACAAGTTCATTTAATCAATTTTACTTAATATCATCAATAAGTATAGCATTTGTTTTTACACCAAGATGTACAGTAACCTTATAAATTGCATATTACTAATGCAATGCTGATGCAATATGCAATTTATCACAAAACAGCAGAAATTCAGAACATTATAATGTACCCATCATAAACATTTAATAAAATAAAAAGCTTGAAAATTACTCAATAGTTTGAGAAGTAAGGATTTAGCTCAATAGCTCTGTATAATAATCACAATAAAACATTGAAAATGGAGACTTGAAACATCTCAGGTAAACAATCAATTGATAGCGCTAATAAGAGATTTTGAGTCACAACAATCGCTGTTGGTCTAGATAATTATATAGCAGCATGAGCTTTCACCTGTGAATAACAGAGAAGCACACAGCAATGACAAGGTATCATTTTGTTGCTTCAGAAATGTATTTTCTGCGTGTTCCATTTTGGTTTAGAGTTATGCAAGAAAAATGAAAATCCAATTCCAGATAGTCCTGTGTTAGTTTGGGTATTTATTTAATTCTTATGGTCTAAGGAATACTATAGTGGGGAAACGTCCATATATTATCACAGGTTGAAGAAGCTATAATATATATATATATATATATATATATATATATATATATATATATATATATATATATATATATTTATATATACAGTGGGGAGAACAAGTATTTGATACACTGCCGATTTTGCAGGTTATCCTACTTACAAAGCATGTAGAGGTCTGTAATTTTTTATCATAGGTACACTTCAACTGTGAGAGACGGAATCTAAAACAGAAATCCAGAAAATCACATTGTATGATTTTTAAGTAATTAATTTGCATTTTATTGCATGTAGATCGATAGGGGGAAAAAATAAAGAAAAACTAAAAGGTCTGTGAGAGCCGGAATTCTTACTGGTTGGTAGGTGATCAAATACTTATGTCATGCAATAAAATGCAAATTAATTACTTAAAAATCATACAATGTGATTTTCTGGATTTTTGTTTTAGATTCCGTCTCTCACAGTTGAAGTGTACCTATGATAAAAATTACAGACCTCTACATGCTTTGTAAGTAGGAAAACCTGCAAAATCGGCAGTGTATCAAATACAGTGAGGGAAAAAAGTATTTGATCCCCTGCTGATTTTGTACATTTGCCCACTGACAAAGAAATTATCAGTCTATAATTTTAATGGTAGGTTTATTTGAACAGTGAGAGACAGAACAACAACAACAAAATCCAGAAAAACGCATGTCAAAAATGTTATAAATTGATTCGCATTTTAATGAGGGAAGTAAGTATTTGACCCCCTCTCAATCAGAAAGATTTCTGGCTCCCAGGTGTCTTTTATACAGGTAACGAGCTGAGATTAGGAGCACACTCTTAAAGGGAGTGCTCCTAATCTCAGTTTGTTACCTGTATAAAAGACACCTGTCCACAGAAGCAATCAATCAATCAGATTCTAAACTCTCCACCATGGCCAAGACCAAAGAGCTCTCCAAGGATGTCAGGGACAAGATTGTAGACCTACACAAGGCTGGAATGGGCTACAAGACTATCGCCAAGCAGCTTGGTGAGAAGGTGACAACAGTTGGTGCGATTATTTGCAAATGGAAGAAACACAAAACAACTGTCAATATCCCTCGGCCTGGGGCTCCATGCAAGATCTCACCTTGTGGAGTTGCAATGATCCTGAGAATGGTGAGGAATCAGCCCAGAACTACACGGGAGTATCTTGTCAATGATCTCAAGGCAGCTGGGACCATAGTCACCAAGAAAACAATTGGTAACACACTACGCCGTGAAGGACTGAAATCCTGCAGCGCCCGCAAGGTCCCCCTGCTCAAGAAAGCACATATACATGCCTGTTTGAAGTTTGCCAATGAACATCTGAATGATTCAGAGGAGAACTGGGTGAAAGTGTTGTGGTCAGATGAGACCAAAATCGAGCTCTTTGGCATCAACTCAACTCGCCGTGTTTGGAGGAGGAGGAATGCTGCCTATGACCCCAAGGACACCATCCCCACCGTCAAACATGGAGGTGGAAACATTGTGCTTTGGGGGTGTTTTTCTGCTAAGGGGACAGGACAACTTCACCGCATCAAAGGGACGATGGACGGGGCCATGTACCGTCAAATCTTGGGTGAGAACCTCCTTCCCTCAGCCAGGGCATTGAAAATGGGTCGTGGATGGGTATTCCAGCATGACAATGACCCAAAACACACGACCAAGGCAACAAAGGAGTGGCTCAAGAAGAAGCACATTAAGGTCCTGGAGTGGCCTAGCCAGTCTCCAAACCTTAATCCCATAGAAAATCTGTGGAGGGAGCTGAATGTTCGAGTTGCCAAACGTCAGCCTCAAAACCTTAATGACTTGGAGAAGATCTGCAAAGAGGAGTGGGACAAAATCCCTCCTGAGATGTGTGCAAACCTGGTGGCCAACTACAAGAAACGTCTGACCTCTGTGATTGCCAACAAGGTTTTTGCCACCAAGTACTAAGTCATGTTTTGCAGAGGGGTCAAATACTTATTTCCCTTCATTAAAATGCAAATCAATTTCTAACATTTTTGACATGCGTATTTCTGGATTTTTTTGTTGTTATTCTGTCTCTCACTGTTCAAATAAACCTACCATTAAAATTATAGACTGATCATTTCTTTGTCAGTGGGCAAACGTACAAAATCAGCAGGGGATCAAATACTTTTTTCCCTCACTGTACTTGTTCTCCCCACTGTATGTGTGTGTGTGTGTGTGTGTGTGTGTGTGTGTGTGTGTTTCTGTGTGTGTTATGTTTTAATAGACAAAATGTGTATGAAGTACAATTCTCAAAATTATTTTTGTGGCAGCTCTCTAACAAGAAGCCATTTCCCCAGACTGTTTGTCCGTCTGTCTGTCTGTCTGTATGTATGTCTGTCTGTCTGGTATGTATGTCTGTCTGTCTGTCCGTCCATGAGGCCTCTATAGTGGTTAGTTAACATGCTCCCCACAGTCCTCATACATGCTACAGCACGAAGCTTTTCCATCTCTGGGCCACTGATCAATGGCAGTGATCAAGATGTACCACTTCACCCCTCACCTACACTTGTGGAGTTTCCTTCGTCTTTATTCATACCTACATTCCACCTCTGTGTGGTTATGCCAATGACTGTGTAGTGAGTGTGTGTGTGTGTGTGGGTGTGTGTGTGTGTGTGGGGCGGGGAATGGAAATAAAAATGGAAATACAAAGTATTTGGACTAATTGTGAACATGTGCTGTCTGTCCTGGGAGTCGTTGTCGAACACCTCGTAGTAATCTCTGAAATGTTGGCATTTTAGACAGCCAAGTCAGACCATGAAAGATATGGGCCATAAAAGGCACTGCTACACCCAGTTTCCCATTTTTGTAGAATACATTATTCTATTTAATTCCTCCATTTCTTGCACACCCAATATGGAAAGGGGTATCCAGATGCAAAAGTAACAGATGTATTTGTCTCTGTAGATGTTTTTTGTTTTTTTTATAATGGAGGAAGTAGAAATGGAAAAAAGGGACAAGATTCACAAAACACCACTGTTTAGGGCCCCATGTGTATGTAGAGGTTTCCTTCCTCTGCACAGAGAATGTCTTCTTTTACAGGTGGGACGCCATGCAGCTGAGACATGACTACACATTCCTCATTAAGTCACTAGCTAGTCCAAACCCATGACTGTATTACGGGATGTTGGGAACAGTTTTCTGTTCCGGTTTTTTTTCTATGCAGAAAACATAAAGCATTGTATACTCTTAAAGACTTCTCTGTGCACCTTTTTGAAAAGCACCCCTCTAAATGTTCCTTTCTGACCATATCCTCATAAGGCCCAATGCTTAGAACATAGTCTGAGATAAGGAACACTGGTTGATCAAATGTTTATCTCTGAAATGTAACACAACACATACAGTAATTAAAATCACTTACAGTTTCAGGACTTACAGTTGTGACCGAGTATTGAGTATCTATCATAAATAAGATACTGATCACTCCGTGGCAGATCATCATCACTATAACTCAAACAAAACAGTGCTAGTCTAGCAAGTCTTTTAAGCTACTTTCCAAGCAATTATATCTTTGTAGATTTCACATTTATGTATGTTATAGCAAAAACATTTTAAGCCATCTTTTTTAGATTTTCAAAATGTTCATATAAGATTAAAGCTGCAAAGGTTTAACAGTCTGATGTCTTCAGGTAAATTGTTTAATTTCAAAGAGTGACTTAGCCAAGCCAGCTCTAGTTCACCGCTGCTTACATTTTCTCACAGAGCCTTTATTCATTTCGTAGTCACACTGTAATGACAGACTTCCCACTGGGAACAGACATCAATTCAACGTCTATTCTACGTTGGTTCCACGTAATTTCATCGTGGAAACAATGTTGATTCATATCAGACAGGATCGCACGAGGCAACACGGTGCCAAAAGATACTCGGTGCACATAGATTTAAGCCACTAAATATGTGGGCTTCAAAGCGCTGTGGATTTGCCATCTGAATGACTTGACAAAAAGCACAAAGAGTTGTTTAGGAAATTCTTCAAAAAGTCAGTTAAAGCATTTAAAGCCAGCTCGGCTGAGACCTATTCTACAAGGTCTTAGGAATGTCCTACATTTGCCCGACTATGCATGTACCAACTGACCACCCACAGTGGTGCATAGGAGCTTCAGATGTATACATGTACACACTTAGAAAAACATGTTCTGGATAGAACCAATAAGGGTTCTATGCTTGCTTCATATATGGCAGACTTAAAGTTCTATATAGAACCGAAATGGGTTCCATATAGAACCCTATATGGATCCCAAAGGTTCTATATGGAACCAATTTTGGTTCAGTGAAGAAGAACCCCTGATGTTCTGATCAAAGAGCCCTACAAAAAGGGTTCTATATAGAACCTTTAGGGGTGCCATATATGAATCAAGCATATCCATATTTGTGGTTCTACCTAGAATCTTTTTTTCTGAGAGTGTATACAACAAAACCACAAGTAAAACTGTTCACCCACAGACAACATCTTTAAGCTGAGTAGCCATATAAGTACATACTCCTTGCAAGTGTTTTTCCTGTCTCATCTTAGTTTTAATCTGCTTCAAATGGTGATACTAGGATGTAGTTTGGTCAGTTATCCAGTCCATATATAAACTGTATTCTGTATTTACACACTGTTAAAACACTTGTGTAAATATCTATGTTTTCTTCTGCCATGTAAATCCATCAGACATACTCTAAGGCAGGATGCATATGTGGCATCAGTATAACACAAGGTGGTAGTAAATCATGTTCTTTTGTTCAGTTGCCCCAGTCAAGAAATAATTAACAATAGTAGAAGAAGACAGGAACTGGCTACCACACCCGACATTTTATCTCAGGGTTCATGGGAGTACCTGGTTTGCACTGGAATGCCTCTGAGAATGCTCCAAAATTCTGTAGGGAGCCAAGTACCCTGTGAGAGAAGATAGGTAAAGAGTGTTAACAGATTACTGACAGAAAATAGGTTGGAATCGCGAAACGCTACATTTTTACAGTTGGTCGTTACCTGTATTCCAGGGGACTGTGGGAGTCTGTCTTGATGGACTGGCTTGCATATTCAGGCCGATAGGCACCACACCATACCTGGAGGAGAAAGATGTATCACATATTAATTAATTCAAGTTTGACACAGTAAAAGCAGAGACAGTATTACTGTGCCCATAACACATTTATTTTCTCAATTACACCTGTTCGTATTTTACAAGTGAGGATATTTTTGAGCTGAATATACAGTAAATGTAAACCATAAAATGATGAGGAACATGATATGCCAGAGGGAACACCTTAAGGGGTACCAAGTATTTTTTCCAAGGCGCTGTTCGACAGCCCAACTGAATAATCCCAGCAGGGATTGTGTTTGGCTTTGACCTGGTTTTGGATGAAGACTGTCAAACACTAGTCTGGCTTTGCTCTGGCCTTGTTTTCCCTGGCACAGTACCACAGTGGTCTTTATTTTGGCAAAATATTCTGGACCCCTAGGTAGGTAGCTTGATATAATGATCTGGGGTAGTTTTAAACCCCTTGGTCCAACTGTTTATTTCTTAAAAACCAAGTATTTAGGAAAAAATGTGTGTTCTCAGTGGTCTCTAGACCAGCATTTCTCAATGATCTGGGAACAGCAGTGGAGGAAGGATGGTAATATACACTACATGGCCAAAAGTATGTGGACAGCTCTTCAAATTAGTGGATTCGGCTATTTCAGCCACACCCGTTGCTGACAGGTGTATAAAATCGAGCACACAGCCATGCAATCTCCATAGACAAACATTGGCAGTAGAATGGCCTTACTGAAGAGCTCAGTGACTTTCAACGTGGCACCGTCATAGGATGCCACTTTTTCAACAAGTCAGTTTGTCAAATTTCTGCCCTGCTAGAGCTGCCCCGGTCAACTGTAAGTGCTGCTATTGTGAAGTAGAAATTGCTAGAAGCAACAACGGCTCAGTCGCAAAGTGATAGGCCACACAACCTCACAGAACGGGACCACTGAAAATCTTCTGTCTTCGGTTGCAACACTCACTACCGAGTTCCAAACTGCCTCTGGAAGCAACGTCAGCACAATAACTGTTCGTCGGGAGCTTCATGAAATGGGTTTCCATGGCAGAGCAGCCGCACACAAGCCTAAGATCACCATGCCAATGCCAAGCGTCGGCTGGAGTGGTGTAAAGCTCGCCGCCATTGGACTCTGGAGCAGTGGAAACGTGGTCTCTAGAGTGATGAATCACGCTTCACCATCTGGCAGTCCGACGGACAAATCTGGGTTTGGCGGATGCCAAGAGAACGCTAACTGCCCCAATGCATAGCGCCAACTGTAAAGTTTGGTGGAGGAGGAATAATGGTCTGGTGCTGTTTTCATGGTTTGGGCTAGGCCGCTTAGTTCCAGTGAAGGGAAATTTTATTATTTTTATTTTGTATTATTATTATTATTATAAAAAAATTTAGGGGGTAGATCAGCTTTAGTATTGCAGATAGATTGTAACTTCCATCAATGTAATTGTCTGCATCACTTCCAATCCCCCATATGTTTTTTTTCTCGCAAATATATGTATATATAGATATATATATATACACATACAAACATACATACATACATACATACATACACACACACACACATACATAAATATCCTTTTTAAAAATATATTTCCCTTGAATACTTTCCAACCCCACCAACCCTTCCCTAATTGGAGTAAACTAGTGAACAACAACAACGCTTAGGCCTCTACTTCCAGCTTATACATACTATATACATTTTATGGACACAATCCATTTTACAATAATTCTATTTTGTTTGTTTTTACTCCTGAACTTCCTCTACCCTCAACCTCTCCGATCATTTTAATGATGTCCATCCGGTTTGCTTCTATATGCCATATCTTTCAAACTGTGCTCTTTCACAAAAGCTCTCAACCTATAACCTATATACTTATTATGGACACAGTATGCTTACATTATTAGTTATCTTGTTGTTATTAGTTGTTGTTAGTTGTTATTAGTCCCATCCTTCAACTCCATTCAACACCACCCATCCATATTGGATTTCTATTTGCCATATATTTTTCAACTGTACTGTGATGTTTTACAAAAGTTCTGAACCTTTCTATTCTCATTGTTTCTACCTGTGTCCAAAAACAAGCTACAAATGGACAGTACCAAAACAAATTATCGAATGATTCTGTCTCTTCGCAGCAAAATCTGCACAGCTGGGAAGATTGTATCCCCCATATAAATAACATTCTGTTGGGAGCAAGAATTTTATATAATAATTTAAATAGAAAAATTCTAAGTTTTGAATCCGGCGGCGTTTTGCGTATCAGTTCATAAACACTATGCCATGGGATTGGTATGTGAAATATCTCTTCCCAACTATTTTGCAATCTATATGGGACGGCTGTCAATCCTTTGGTCCTTAAATGATACTGGTATACTTTTTTATTTATCACAGTTTTCTTTAACCAATTATGTTCTTTAATGCAAGGCCGACAGACAAGTTCCTTACTTTTTCCCCCTTCCACTTTCCTCTTCCATTTTTGTGGTAATGCTGCAATTATTTGGTTGTAATTTTGGGTAGAGCAGACATTTCCATATGTTTTTGTTAGCTGCATGTGCGACATAACTCCACCAGTCCTACCGATGATATCATTTACGAAGATTATACCTTTTTTAAACATTTTTTCAAAAGAAAAGGTTTTTTATCAATTAGTATAAGTGAATTGAACCACAATAGTTGTTGCATTATTTGTTCTGTCGTTTCTGGAGGATTAAATTGAAATTGCAACCAACTTTCTATGGCTTGTTTTAGAAATAGTGATATTTGGGAGATGATTTCCTTTTCAAATAACTGAAAGTGAGAGTTTGTAATCTGAATAAAGGGAAAAAGGCCATTCTTGAACATTGGGTGAGACAATCTTACTAATTTGCTAGAGAACCAGTTCGGATTTAAGTATAACTTTTGTATGACTGAAGTGATAGTGATAGGTCTAATGCTTTAATATTTAATAATTTCTGTCCTCCGAATTCATATTCATTATATAAATAGGCCGGTTTAATTTAGTCTGATATAATTTTTTTCTCATATAATTGAAAAAACTGTTCACTAGGCGTAGGCAAGACCATAAGCAAATAGGTAAACTGGGATGATACAAAAAATTGACAGGTATTTACCTTTCCATGGTAGCAAGATCTTATCTATTTTTGCTAACTTTTATTAAAATGTATTGGAGTGAGATCATTTATTTCATTTGGGATATGTATTCCGAGTATATCCACATCACCATCAGACCATTTTATTGGTAAACTACATGGTAATGTAAACATTTTATTTTTTAGTGATCCAATACATAATATAGTACATTTATCATAATTTGGTTGTAATCCAGAGAGGTTAGAAAATGTATCTAGATCCTCTATGAGGCTGTGGAGGGATTCAAGTTGTGGATTTAAAAGAAAGCATGAATCATCAGCGTACAATGACACCTTTGTTTTTAAGCCCTGGATTTCTAATCCCTTGATATTATTGTTAGATCTGGTTTGAATAGCTAACATCTCGATGGCCATAATAGATAGATATGCCGATAGTGGACAACCTTGTTTCACTCCTCTTGACAGTTTAAAACTCAGAGAAATAGCCATTATTTACTATTTTACACCTAGGGTTACTATACATGATTTTAACCCATTTTATAAGAGATTCTCCAAAATTGAAATGCTCCAGGCATTTATATATAAACCCCAGTCGTACTTTATCAAATGCCTTTTCGAAGTCTGCTAAGAATACCAGGCCTGGTTTCCCAGATTGTTCATAGTGTTCTATTGTTTTCAGTACTTGCCTTATATTATCTCCAATCTATCTTCCATGTAAAAAATCTGTCTGATTAGAATGAATAATGTCCGACAATACCTTTTTAATTCTATGCGCTATACATTTTGCTAGAATTGTTGCATCACAACACTGAAGTGTAAGGGGCCTCCAATTTTTTTAATGGACTGGATCTTTATATTTTCCACTTGTATCCTGTTTCAGTAATAATGAAATCAGACCTTCTTGAGTGTCTGATAATCTACCATTTACATAGGAGTGGTTAAAACATGCTAATAACGGTCCTCTGAGTATATAAAAAAAGGTTTGATATACCTCGACTGGTATGCCATCCAACCCTGGAGTTTTCCCGGACTTAAAGTCTTTAATTGCATCCAGAAGTTCCTCCTCTGTAATTTCGCCTTCACATGAGTCTTTCTGTATGGCTGTTAATTTTACATTATCAATAGAAAAAACATCTCTACAATTAGCTTCAGTTAGAGGAGATGGAGGCGACTGAAACGAAAACATATACTTAAAGTACTTCAAAATATATTTTGGTGAATCATGGGTGACTTCGTCATTTGTAACCAGTTTCAGTAAATTCTTTTTGGTAGCATTCCTATATTGAAGTTTAAAAAAGAATTTGGTGCATTTTCCCCCATATTCCATCCAGTTTGCTTTATTTTTATGATATATTACACTTGACCTTTCTTGAATAAGTTTCTCAATTTCTTTTTGTTTTTCCTCTAATTTATTCTGAGCCTCTATGTTACAGTTTTTATTGCTATCTATCTCTTCTGTTAGACCTTCTATTTCCTTTGTTAGTATGGACTCTTTTGACCTAAATTGCTTTTGTTTTCGAGATGAGTACTGAATTGCATGGCCTCTAAAGGCACATTTAAAGGTGTCCCATACAATAAGGGGATTTGCTGAAGTCTGAATTTTACATACGCCTTAGCCAAATACATTTAAACTCAGTTTTTCACAATTTCTGACATTTAATCCTAGTAAAAATTCCCTGTCTTAGGTCAGTTAGGATCACCATTTTATTTTAAGAATGTGAAATGTCAGAATAATAGTAGAGAGAATGATTTATTTCAGCTTTTATTTCTCTCATCACATTCCCAGTGGGTCAGAAGTTTACATACACTCAATTAGTATTTGGTAGCATTGCCTTTAAATCGTTTAACTTGGGTCAAACGTTTCGGGAGCCTTCCACAAGCTTCCCACAATAAGTTGGGTGAATTTAGGCCCATTCCTCCTGACAGAGCTGGTGTAACTGAGTCAGGTTTGTAGGCCTCCTCGCTCGCACACGCTTTTTCAGTTCTGCCCACAAATGTTCTGTAGGATTGAGGTCAGGGCTTTGTGATGGCCACTCCAATACCTTCACTTTGTTGTCCTTAAGCCATTTTGCCACAACTTTGGAAGTATGCTTGGGGTCATTGTCCATTTGGAAGACCCATTTGCGACCAAGCTTTAACTTCCTGACTGATGTCTTGAGATGTTGCTTCAATATATCCACATAATTTTCCTTCCTCATGATGCCATCTATTTTGTGAAGTGCACCAGTCCCTCCTGCAGCAAAGCACCCCCACAGCATGATGCTGCCACCCCCGTGCTTCACGGTTGGGATGGTGTTCTTCGGCTTGCAAGCACCCCCTTTTTCCTCCAAACATAACGATGGTCATTATGGCCAAACAGTTCTATTTTTGTTTCATCAGACCAGAGGACATTTCTCCAAAACGTACGATCTTTGTCCCCATGTGCAGTTGCAAACCGTAGGCAGGCATTTTTATGGCGGTTTTGGAGCAGTGGCTTCTTCCTTGCTAAGCGGCCTTTCAGGTTATGTCGATATAGGACTAGTTTTTCTTTGGATATAGATAGTTTTGTACCTGTATCCTCCAGCATCTTCACAAGGGCCTTTGCTGTTGTTCTGGGATTGATTTGCACTATTCACATCAAAGTATGTTCATCTCCAGGAGACCTTCCTGAGTGGTATGACGGCTGTGTGGTCCCATGGTGTTTACATTTGCATACTATTGTTTGTACAGATGAACGTGGTACCTTCAGGCGTTTGGAAATTGTTCCCAAGGATGAACCAGACTTGTGGAGGTCTACAGTTTTTTTTCTGAGGTCTTGGCTGATTTCTTTTGATTTTCCCATGATGTCAAGCAAAGAGGCACTGAGTTTGAAGGTAGGCTTTGAAATACATCCACAGGTACACCTCCAATTGACTCAAATGATGTCAATTAGCCTATCAGAAGCTTCTAAAGCCATGACATAATTTTCTGGAATTTTCCAAGCTGTTTAAAGGCACTGTCAACTTAGTGTATGTAAACTTCTGACCCACTGGCATTGTGATACAGTGAATTATAAGTGAAATAATCTGTCTGTAAACAATTATTACTTATGTCATGCACAAAGTAGATGTCCTAACCGACTTGCCAAACTATAGTTTGTTAACAAGAAATGTGTGGAGTGGTTGAAAAACGAGTTTTAATGACTCCAACCTAAGTGTATGTAAACTTCCGACTCCAACTGTATGTTGTGTCTGAAAAAATAAGTTATAAATTCCTCTGTCCTAGTTAAAAACAAGTTATCATCCAATAGGCTTTGATAAAATTTCCAATATCCTCGCCCACGTGGAAATTCAGTAAGAGTAATGAAGGGAAATCTTAACGCTACAGTATACAATGACATTCTAGACTATTCTGTGCTTCCAACTTTGTGTCAACAGTTTGGGAAGGCCCATTCCTGTTTCAGCATGACAATGCCCCTTTGCACAAAGCGAGGTCCATACAGAAATGTTTTGTCGAGATTGGTGTGGAAGAACTTGACTGGCCTGCACAAAGCCCTGACCTCAACCCCATCGAACACCTTAGGGATGAATTGGATCGCCGACTGCGAGCCAGGCCTGATCGCCCAACATCAGTGCCCGACCCCACTAATGCTCTTGTGGCTGAATGGAAGTCCCCACAGCAATGTTCCAACATCTACTGGAAAGCCTTCCCAGAAGAGTGGAGGCTGTTATAGCAGCAAAGGGGGGACCAACTCCATATTAATGCCCATGAGTTTAGAATGAGATGTTCGACGAGCAGCTGTCCACATCCTTTTGGTCATGTAGTGTAGCTTTTAGGTGGTCTACTCTAGACAACTCAATTTATTAAAGGTATACTTCGGGATTTTGGCATTGAGGCCCTTTATCTACTTCCCCAGAGTCATGAACAAGTGGATACCATTTTTATGCTAGTAGATACCCACAGACCCACTGTCATTGTGCTAACGCTAGTTAGCATTGGTTCGCGAAACTACCTCTAACTTCCATCTTACTGGACACAGATACATAAAAATGGTATCCACAAATTAATCTGACTCTGGGATAAAGTGGAGCTTACTCACTTGGGCAAAGTTAAGAAAGAAAAGTTGCTTGTGGTCCATGTCCAGACCAGGTAAACGATGCTCTTCACCTTCTCTCTCCATCCACTTCATGTAGGCCTGACCACAAACACACAAAAAAAACATACAAATGTCAAATATAATTAGATACAATTTAGTCAGAGATCCATTTTTGTTAGAAAGTGGTTCATTGTGTTTTCATTGTGCCGTGGTGGTTGAATGGGTTTGTGAGGGTGTCACACCTTATAGGCTTGCCGAACTCCTCCGTTGTCGGCGATGTTCTCCCCCAAAGTGCTAATTCCACTGACCTGGGGTCACACAGAGACAGTCATTAGCACACTCACATTCAGAGGTTCTCAACCCAAAAAAATATGAGTCATTACACCCAAATAAATGTTAGATTTTTCCCATTCTTTTGCTACACTGGGAAACTCACATTTTGTCCACCTGCAAGTTTCCAGTTGAAGTTGCCATATTGTTGCACCATGCACTGCGACTGGTCCTTAAAGTGCTCAGCAGAATAATTACTCCACCAATTAAGCATGTTACCATCCTTATCAAAATTACGACCTGTTTTTAAAGATAAAACGTGGAATTAATTGTGATGCATTCTCATTTACATTTGACCATGAATTAATACTCTATACTAAACATGATTGTGCAACACATTGGACACAAACATGGACAGTGACTATAAATATGAGTATTGCCTCACCATTGTCATCAAACCCATGGGTGATCTCATGTCCAATGACCATCCCTATTCCTCCAAAGTTCAGGGCCTGGAGCTGCTGCTTACTGAAGAAAGGAGGCTGCAGGATACCAGCAGGGAATACTAGGAGAAAGGACATTGAGAAACGGACAGAGAACAGATCAGGCCAAATGAACAAAGAGAGTCTATAATCTTGCAACCTTGGGAGCAAGCGAATGAAACAGAATTTCAGCTTCATATCTGACTAATCATCACTGCACATTACCAGTCCATGTGTTAGCGGCATTGTCTGAGTGGCATTCATTGTGGCTGGCGCCCCAACCCCATCTCTTTTAGCCACAAAGCTTGTGTGCAATGGAGCCTGAAACTAGTTCCATTCTATCAACAGCGGAAAGCATTACCGGCAGTCATTATTCTCAATGACGTTAAAGTGGCAGTGAGGCAGAACACCGGGGCACGCGGCAGAGCGGGCTCATACATACAGAGAAGGCTCAAACATACAGAAAAGGCTCAAACATACAGAAAAGGCTCAAACATACAGAGAAGGCTCAAACATACAGAGAAGGCTCAAACATACAGAGAAGGCTCAAACATACAGAGAAGGCTCAAACATACAGAGAAGGCTCAAACATACAGAGAAGGCTCAAACATACAGAGAAGGCTCAAACATACAGAGAAGGCTCAAACATACAGAGAAGGCTCATACATACAGAGAAGGCTCATACATACAGAGAAGGCTCATACATACAGAGAAGGCTCAAACATACAGAAAAGGCTCAAACATACAGAGAAGGCTCATACATACAGAGAAGGCTAAAACATACAGAAAAGGCTAAAACATACAGAAAAGGCTAAAACACACAGAAAAGGCTCAAACATACAGAAAACTCTCAAACATACAGAGAAGGCTCATACATACAGAGAAGGCTCATACATACAGAAAAGGCTCAAACATACAGAAAAGGCTCAAACATACAGAGAAGGCTCATACATACAGAGAAGGCTCAAACATACAGAAAAGGCTAAAACATACAGAAAAGGCTAAAACACACAGAAAAGGCTCAAACATACAGAAAAGGCTCAAACATACAGAAAAGGCTCAAACATACAGAAAAGGCTAAAAACATACAGAAAAGGCTAAAACATACAGAGAAGGCTAAAACATACAGAAAAGGCTCAAACATACAGAAAAGGCTAAAAACATACAGAAAAGGCTAAAACATACAGAGAAGGCTAAAACATACAGAAAAGGCTAAAACATACAGAAAAGGCTAAAACATACAGAGAAGGCTAAAATATACAGAAAAGGCTAAAACATACAGAAAAGGCTAAAACATACAGAGAAGGCTAAAACATACAGAGAAGGCTAAAACATACAGAAAAGGCTAAAACATACAGAGAAGGCTAAAATATACAGAAAAGGCTCAAACATACAGAAAAGGCTAAAACATACAGAGAAGGCTAAAACATACAGAAAAGGCTAAAACATACAGAAAAGGCTAAAACATACAGAAACGGCTAAAACATACAGAAAAGGCTAAAACATACAGAAAAGGCTAAAACATACAGAAAAGGCTAAAACATACAGAAAAGGCTAAAACATACAGAGAAGGCTAAAATATACAGAAAAGGCTAAAACATACAGAAAAGGCTAAAACATACAGAGAAGGCTAAAACATACAGAAAAGGCTAAAACATACAGAGAAGGCTAAAACATACAGAAAAGGCTAAAACATACAGAAAAGGCTAAAACATACAGAAACGGCTAAAACATACAGAAAAGGCTAAAACATACAGAAAAGGCTAAAACATACAGAAAAGGCTAAAACATACAGAAAAGGCTAAAACATACAGAAAAGGCTAAAACATACAGAAAAGGCTAAAACATACAGAAAAGGCTAAAACATACAGAGAAGGCTAAAATATACAGAAAAGGCTAAAACATACAGAAAAGGCTAAAACATACAGAGAAGGCTAAAACATACAGAAAAGGCTAAAACATACAGAGAAGGCTAAAACATACAGAAAAGGCTAAAACATACAGAAAAGGCTAAAACATACTGGCTCATAAGACTTCTAAAGTCTTGTGTTGTATTTTTGCACTGTTTCTATGCACACTCACAGGACTCTACACACTCACTCACACTGATACTCCAATGCACACATAAAATGCACACACATTTATACTGACTCTACACACACGCAATCATAATTTACGCTGCTGCTACTCTGTTTCTCATATCCTGATGCTGAGTCACCATACATATCTAACCCTACCACTCCAGTATCCCTGCACATTGTAATTATGGTATTGGAACGGGATATAGCTTCTTACTTTCTCGTGTTGTTCTTATTTCTTATTTGTATTTCTTGTGTGTTTTTGTTCTACCTTATGTTATTTATTAGTGCTACATTGATATTGATTACTGCATTGTTGGGTTTGGAGCGTGCAAGAAAGACATTTCACTGTACTTCTGCTGTGACATTACAACTTGAAACTACATACACAGCACAGCACTCATATCAGAGCCAAACCATAATAGTCACCAGGTTGTCTGTCTGTCAGCTTTCAATATGACTACAAATAGACCCAGAGGAATGGCTTGAAGAGTTGTGTAATATTTTGCTTTGGTTTAGGGAAAGGAATTCATGTCAATGTAATGTTTAATGTTCTTAATGTTACGCAATATTATTACAGCCAAATGCAAACGAGTCCCTATTCAAAATACATTCATTTTATTTTCTCCAGTTAGCTGCAAGATGTGTAACAGGTGTGAAATGGCTGGTCAAAAGAGGGGTGAGTGTAACCGGTGTGAAATAGCTAGCTAGTTAGCGGTGCGCGCTAGTAGCGTTTCAATCGGTGATGTCACTCGCTCTGAGACCTTGAGGTAGTTGTTTCCCTTGCTCGGCTTTTATGGAGCGAAGGATAACGATGCTTCGAGGGTGACTGTTGTCGATGTGTGCAGAGGGTTCCTGGTTCAAGCCCAGGTAGGGGCGGGGAGAGGGATGGAAGGAACACTGTTACAGATGCATGCATTCACACCATTTCTTAAATCAGGAGTTGACTATTATTCAATCATTCAAGAACTTGTAAGAAATCCTTTGCTAGTATAGAAACAAATACTGTAGACGTCAAAATTATTGTTCCTAATAAGGGATTTCCTCAAGCCAGGATTGGCCGACGATAACTAACTTCAGATGGGTGACGAAAGGTGCAGCCAGTGTGTTGGCTGTTGTCATATTACCTATCTGGTTTCTGTTTGGTGAGTAGAAAGCATTGACCACAGCAGCACCAATGATCCACCTAGAAAAAAACACTAGAATATAGATCTCACCATTTAAGAGGGAATGTCGAATGTGTACTCACATGTGTAAATGTGTTTATGTTCACGTGTGTCTATGTGAGGCTAAATGGATGCATCTTACATGTCCGGGTCGACCGGCTCTCTCAGCTTCTTCAAACTCTTGTGTGCTTCAGCCTGCAGGTTCTCAAGGATGTTCTCAAAGTAGTTCTCCTCACTGAAGTTCAGCTGCAGACAGAGACCAGGCAAAGATAATCAGGAACAATCTAAACAACAATTTGTACATCCATTTCGCTTTGAAAAGGAGGATTTATCATAGTCCTTTGAGCCCAAAGGGGCTAATGTGTGGACAGGTCTCACAGACATACATGGGCATACTCCTGGTCAAGCTTCAGATTGCTCTCTTCCAGAATGTGGTCAGGATAGCCAATATGCTCCTTGATGGCCATGGCCTGTAACATAGAGCAGTAGAACAGTCAGCTGGTAAGTTCTTTCGTTTACATATTATAGTATCTAAACAGTTTATGATTTTGCTGACGTTTGCAAATGGTGTAATAGATGAACTTTACTCTGCTTTGCTGAAACATCTGGAAAGCATTACTACATAGGCTTCTTGGAATAGAGGACATTTGGAGATATGGGGAGGTTAGGGATTGGTCTATCAAAAACCACCCATCTTATGTTACATAGGATATAAATACCATGTTTTGAACAAAGGACGGAGAGAATAACATATTAGAGATTGGGTCAGTTGTTCTCCAGATTTCTGCAGGAGTCTGTAAATTGATACTGTAATCTTTGATGTAATAAACCATTATAATCAAGGACAGTGTCAGCGGATTTCTTGTCATCACAGCATATCAGCATCGTTGTCTCGACACTACAATATTCAAAACACTGATGATGTACAGGTAACTGCCAAAAACACTGGAGTAAATGAGGGATACAAAGTATATTGAAAGCAGGTGCTTCCACACAGGTGTGGTTCCTGAGTAAATTAAGCAATTAACATCCCATCATGCTTAGGTTCATGTATAAAAATGCTGGGCAGGCCATTATTTTGGCTACCATGGCTATGGGATAACATCCCATGGCTATGGGATAACATCCCATCCACAAGGCACGAGTGGTCACTGAATGGTTTGATGAGCATGAAAACAATGTAAACCATATGCCATGGCTGTCTCAGTCACCAGATCTCAACCCAATTGAACACTTTTGGGAGATTCTGGAGCGGCGCCTGAGACAGCGTTTTCCACGACCATCAACAAAACACAAAATGATGGAATTGCTCGTGGAAGAATGGTGTCGCATCACTCCAATAGAGTTCCAGACACTTGTAGAATCTATGCCAAGGTGCATTGAAGATGTTCTTGCTCGTGGTGGCCCAACACCCTATTAAGACACTTTATGAATTTGTTTCCATTATTTTGGCAGCTAGCTGTACATGGTATGTTTGTTTGCAATGCTATTTTTGTACCTTCTCTCTTGCCTTTTCCTTAGACTGGTCATCCATCCAGCTCAACTCCTCTAGCGTCTCCACGTACGCTTCCTGGATCTTACTGATGAGGTCACTCACCTGTCCACACAAAAATATAATATATTAATTTACAGGGAAAGCAAACACACACACACGCACACACACACAAAGTGCAGACTAAACTGCTGTAGTGACAGTGATTATAGAAGCCGGAGCAGAATTTCCTGTTTTGTCTGCATCCTGTCTACAGGAGTGACTCACCATGCGTTTACTCTCGCCAGCAAAGGTCTCTCGCACATACAGAGCCCCCACTGCGTTGTCCATGCTGCCCTGAACGTAACGCACACAGTCCCTCCACCGCGCCTCCTCCACGGTCGTCCCATACAGGGCCTGACCACACGCACACACACAGACAGACTGTCAAATCTGCCACACGTTTATACATGAATTAGTTTTTCAATGTGTCTGTTTCTAAGGGCTCATTCAATCTGTACCATTGAAGTGTTACAGATTGTGCAATATACATTTTAAGGTAATTTCCGATTGAGCCAACATGTGCAGCGTTTACGGTGAATGCAGTCTTCGCTAACGCAGGAACATTGCCTTTAAATTTAAATCACAATGTAATGCTGAACTTCCACGATACGGATTGAATAGAGCCCTAAGCGTGCTCCTAGATGTGCTCATATCTCTGGCTCACCTTTCTATAGTGTGCCCTGGCATCTTTGAAGCGGCGACTCAGGCTGCTGACTCTCTCCATGACGACCTGCCAGGTGAGGTAGTTCTGCATGGTTCTGGAGGAGGAGAACATGGATATATTCACCCAATAATGTCACTCAATCACTCAAGCAATGGATCTACTGTACGTGACACACATAGAGCTAGATGATGTAACCACAAATCTACACTTAGAAAAAAGTGTTCCAAAAGTGTCCTTCGGCTGTCCCCATTGAAGAACCCTTTTTGGTTCCAGGTAGAACTCTTTTGGTTTCTATTTAGAACCCTCTGAGGAAAGAGTTTTACTTGAAACCAAAAAGGGTTCTTCAATGGGTTCTCCTATGGGGACAACCGAAGAACCCTTTTATTTTAGGTTCTAGATAGCACCTTTTTTCTAACAGTGTACCGTCCTGCATGACTCGCATGATAAATCACAGTAGATAAAATATTGATAGAAGCACATTTTAACTATGGTGTACATCAGAGCTGCCCAACCCTCTTCCTGGAGATATACCGTCCTGTGGGTTTTCAGTCCAACCCTAATTTAACACACCTGATTCTACTTATTAGCTACTCAACAAGACCTTAACTAGCTGAATCAGATATGCTAAATTAGGGTTGGACTGAAAACCTACAGGACAGTAGATCTCCAGGAAGAGGGTTGGGCAGCTCTGATGTACATCATCAGCTCTGACCTGATAGTGTGTTTGGAGAGCACTTTGTTCATCTTCTCCAGGTAAGGGGCGCTGTAGACCACCACCTCCTCCTCCAGCTGTACCTTCACAGCCACACTGGACAACACACCACGCACAAACCTTGTCCAGTTAAAACCCTGTAAGATATAGCAGTGTTTTTGTTAGTATTTTTGTCTGAGGCTTGTTCTGCAATCTACAAGTACATATTGTAGCGACCTTAACCCAACACCTAGCGACCTCATCAAGAGGTTCTGATCTCTTGGCATAATGGCTAAGGTGTTGGGTTGACAGTCGATGGACCCAGGTTTGAGTCCTAGTCGAGGCAACCCCCCAAATTTGCTACATTGGTGTCAGAAGTGGGATGGTGCCCGTGAGGCCATGCGAGAGGCGTGTACATGTGAGGGACTTGGTATAGAGAAGTGTGGGAACACGCTCTCTCGACGGAAGGGGGTAATCTAACAACCTTAATGTATGCACTGGATAAGAGCGTCTGCTAAATGACTAAAATGTAAACCAACACCTAGCAAGATCATCAAGGGGTTCGAACCTTTTAGTGTAATGGTTAAGGTGTTGGCTGGACCTGGGTTTGAGTCCCAGTCGGGGCTACACCCACAAATTTGATACAATATATATAGTATATGGCTTTGACAATGCCAATAGACTTCAGTCTCAAGTCTTATCCACTTGAAATCACTAGAGTGAAAGCACTTACATTGAGATTAAAGGACTCCTGCAGCTCAGTCAGGGTCATCTTTTTGTAGAGAATCGTGACATCCTGACGCTCCTCTGCGGGGGATGTGGCCTATGACACGACAACACAGAAAGCATAGGCCTACAGTAATGTCTGATGTATTGAAATTTAAGGTGACAAACACTGTATTTAGCCATAATATTGATCTATTCACGTTTTTAACATGTGGATGACATGTAGTACAGTATAGTTGAATTCATCCGTCTCTATTAGGTGTTTCTTGTTGAAGACTAATTCATTGAATAAGAGGGGGTAAATCCACCTCATATGTGTTCCTGTCATAGTCTCTTTTTAACTTCTGTCACAGTTCCGGTTCTTGTTGTGGCAGGCTGGCACTCACATTGGCGATATCTGTTTCCAGCTCCAGCACCTGCACCATCTCCTCCACCACACGATCATCTTCCTGGGTCAAGTTCCTGTCTTCGCGGGCAATCCTCACCATGGAAACCATGAACTGCAGGTAGGCCTCTCGCACCTAAAGAGCCACATGACACATACATGCAAAGATGACCTTGTCTTTTCCAGTGCAATGACATTAACAGAACATTAATACACAATACTGTTTATGAAAGTACCCTTTTGTAGTTTCCATCATTGAAGTAATACTCCCTGGATGGCATTCCTAGTCCTGGCTGGTCAATCTGTAAAATAAAAACAGACTTTTATTATCACCCAATCAGAATGGGGGAAGATTTAATTTAAAAAATCACAGGCACTGTACTTTTGGAACATTGTGTATTCAAACACTGTCCTTACATAGATGATGTGGCGCCGGGAGTCGCGGTCATCAGTCCATACATACATGTCCAGCAGGACCTTCTTGTGGTAACGAGAGGTGAGGGTGGCTAGAGTGTCCTCCAGGCTCCAGGCCTCCTCTGGGATAATACAATTAAACAATTAAACATACATACATTAAATCTAACATTAAACATCTGGCTTGCAGAGAGTAGACTGACTACCTCTCACACAGCCAAGTATAGATGGCCACTGCCGCACAATTTACAGAGCAGTCATAAATCTGTCTGTGAAGATGCACCAAATGCACTTACGAGTGGTTAATTCTGTTTGAGCCACTGTCCTTGATTACATTTAATTACACTGGCGGCAGTCAGGTTTGGTGCAGTGAAGAGTGGTCTATTTTAAGAATCAGTCACAACACCTGACTGCCCTTCAGTAGAGCCAGGGGGGCACGCCTGGATGAGCATGTCACATGTCACTCACAATCATATCACTCATCATTTCAGTTGGTGGACGTGTTTAACAATACTTGTGGGGACCAGAAGTCCCCACAACAATAGTAAACAAACAAACATTTGACCAACTTGGGACTTTTTGTTAGTCGCCACAAGGTCAAATGCTATTTCTAGGGGGTTTAGGGTTAAGGTTAGAATTAGTGTTAGGGTTAGAATTAGGTTTAGGAGCTAGTTTTAGTTTTAGGTTTAGGGTTAGGATCTAGAAGTTAAGTTTAGGGTTAGGGTTAAGGTTAGGTTTTGGGGTTAAGGTTAGGGTTAAGGTGAAGGTTACGGTTAGGGTTAGGGTTAGGATTAGGGTTAGGTTTTGGGTAAAGGTAAGGGTTAGAATTAGGGTTAGGTGTAGGTGTAGGGTTAGGGGTTAGGGAAATTGGGATTTTGAATGGGACTGAATTGTGTGTCCACCACAAGGTTAGTTATACAAGACTGTGTGTGTGTGTGTGTGTGTGTGTGTGTGTGTATCAGTACCTGTAGTGATGTTCCAGTCCTCCGAGGCAGCAGGCCAGTCTCCTATGCTGTCGATGAGAAGCATGAGCGGCTGGGAGTCGCGCTGCTCTATCAGAGCTACAGAAGACAACACAGAGACAACACAACACCATTAGCAACACACTGTCAGTCAATCTTACATAGAGTACTGTCAATGAACGTTACAGAGTATGCAGCTGATTCCGAGACCAAACATCTGTGTAATAGTGTTAGCTTGGAGTTTGGATGAGAAGAACCCGACTCACTCTCATTCATGCAGGAGCTGTAGAGAGTTTTGGCCTTCTTGAAGGCGTCACGGTCCTGATCACTCTCAGTCTCAAAAACTCCTGTGAGGAGACGACCAACAGAAACATAAAGATTTACCTCATTCTGTCAATTGATTTGATCTAACACAGCAAGTAGATTTGATCCTTGGAAACATCTCGCTGACTGACCTTTGAGCACGATCTCCAGCCTGTCTCTGAGGATGTCGAAGACGCTGTGCCGGGAGCTGGTCTCTGGGATGACATGACGCTCCAGCCAGCCCCCACAAGCATATTGGTAGAAGTTCTGACACGGCGCCACCGTCGCATCCATGTTCTGCAAGAGACGAGCGGCTGTGGGGGGTACAGTCAGCAGAGGAGGGAGAGGGGAGAATGTGGATAACATAGAAGGAAATGGAATATTATGATGATATGTTGTTATGTTGATATAAAATTGAGTGATGAGTTTTGTTTTTGGAGGACGGACAACCCCATACGCAGGCGGAACTGCTCACCTGCAGTGACGCACTCAGGAGTTGTGCAAACATTGCTGGGGCCAGAATGATACTGCTGCCCTGAAAACATCAAAGTGTTAAATAAAAAATGACTATTGTTATTCCAGGAAAAGAGTAGGAATTTATTAACAGCAGCATCAAGGGATTTTAGATTTCTCTGGCAAATCATTACTTGATACTGTCTGTCTGTTTGGTCTCTGAAATGGCTGTGTCAGCAATGACTCTGTTCTCTCACTTTTGTCCCGACACTGCTGATGAGGCAGCAGAGGGAATTCAAATGGGATCATCCTCTGTCCAGTTTACATCGTACCGTATCCTATAACATGGATATAAACACATACAGTATTTCAACTCAAGCGTCAAGACTCACCCTCAGTGACTGAGCTCCTTGACACCCCAGGTCTATTGGACCGCTCTGCATTGGAGAGAAAAGAGAGGCTTGTTCAGAGCAGTTACTGTACCCAGTACACACAGGAGGTTGGTGGCACCTTAATTGGGGAGGATGGGCTCGTGGTAATGGCTGGAGTGGAAATGGTGGAATGGTATCAAATACATCAAACACATGGTTTCCATGTATTCGATGCCATTCCATTTGCTCCGTTCCAGCCATTATTATGAGCCGTCCTACCCTCAGCAGCCTCCACTGCTAGTACAGTAGGCTAGAATGCTTTGCCTAATTTGATTCTGAAAATTGGTTGCCTATTTATGCTTCAATAGATTTCACAAAACACTCTGGAATAGTTGTCAAATGATGCTAATAAAGTTTTCTGTTTCTCTCTTATTTTAATAGCCTACTGCTTGGCTGTGCTTTCAAACAATACTAATCATAACATAAACACCTGATAAATATCACACATGTTATGGTATTTCTGAAGTCATTTCCAGTGAGGTGAGTGTAATTAGTGCAGGTCAAATTCTATTTTTACTTCTATTGTCGTTGGGTTGAGCCTACCTCTCAGAGCCGATGTGTAGAGGACTATCAGTCCAGCTAGGGCACAGCTGACCAGCAACAACAGCACGGACAGCCCAATCTCCGCAACAGTCCAACGACGCTTCCCTGGTTTGGTAGATTTTTCCATGATATCCATTTGGCTTTCGGATTTGCCCATTCTTACCTCTCCGGGCTCTCTGGAAAAGTAGTGTGGAGAGTGACAGGAACGGGGTACAGCCAGAGAGCGTGCAGTGCGTCCCTGTGTGTGAGTGGGCTGTGCAAACTGATGCAGTGCAACGCCAGTCGCTCAAATGACCGCGAGTGAGTGAGATAGAAAACATAGTTCAACTTATCTCTTCTCCATATGAAAGTGCCTCCTTTCTATGCTAAAGCTCCTTTATATGCTAATAGTCTAATGAATCCCACCCTTCCATGGTTCCATTACTACGCAACTTTGGAATGAAATTATTGTACGATAAATGGTGTTCCCTTGACTGCTGCTGTGATGTGGCATTGAACCAGCCACAGCTGACACTGCATGACAAATTGTGGTCTCGGGTAGGGTACTTCGCTATTTTGAGAAAATTACGAGGTTGGGACATAGCGTAATATTTGCTCAATTAGACTTTGGATACATTTTTTGCCTTACAAGTGGTCATTTTAGGCCTATGTTAGATATAAAGTGGGTTTCTTAAAGCATTTTGAATGGAATTATGCATTTGTTAATTTAGAAGAACATTTTTTAAAGACCTAACTGAATAGGGGTAATGTGGCCCTTTATAATTCTACAGTTGGCTGTACACTTCTCTACAACATTCTTCCAGAGCAATATTTCCTATTCATCTCAATGTTTTATTTGAACACAATATTGCAAATGAGCATTTCTGGGGAACAAACCCTCAATTACTAATACCTTTCAGCATCACTTTGCATCTATTCACTCATCGGCACCTGTTCCTCCTCCTATACCAGCCTCCTCCAATACCAGTCTCCTCCAATACCAGCCTCCTCCTATACCAGTCTCCTCCAATACCAGCCTCCTCCAATACCAGCCTCCTCCAATACCAGCCTCCTTCAATACCAGCCTCCTTCAATACCAGCCTCCTCCAATACCAGCCTCCTTCAATACCAGCCTCCTTCAATACCAGCCTCCTCCAATACCAGCCTCCTTCAATACCAGCCTCCTTCCATACCAGCCTCCTCCAATACCAGCCTCCTCCAATACCATCCTCCTCCAATACCAGCCTCCTTCAATACCAGTCTCCTCCAATACCAGCCTCCTCCCATACCAGTCTCCTCCAATACCAGCCTCCTCCCATACCAACTTCCTCCAATACCAGTCTCCTCCAATACCAGCCTCCTTCCATACCAGTCTCCTCCAATACCAGCCTCCTCCCATACCAGTCTCCTCCTATAACAGCCTCCTCCCATACCAACTTCCTCCAATTCCAGCCTCCTTCAATACCAGTCTCCTCCAATACCAGCCTCCTTCAATACCAGGCTCCTCCAATACCAGCCTCCTCCCATACCAGTCTCCTCCAATACCAGCCTCCTCCAATACCAACTTCCACCAATTCCAGCCTCCTCCAATACCAGCCTCCTCCCATACCAGCCTCCTCCCATACCAGCCTCCTCCCATACCAGCCTCCTCCCATACCAGCCTCCTCCCATACCAGCCTGTTGTACACTTTCTCTAGATGCTCTACTATTAGGAGTGACAGGAGGCAGGGCTGTAAATCAGAGGTTCATGTCGCTGTGCCGCAGTAACTCCTCCTGATGAATACTCATGGGCACATGTCTGGCACTGCTGTGATGAATGACTGGGGGGAGAGAGGAGGGGGCAGGATGGAGGGGTGAGGATGGAGGGGAGAATGGAGGATGGAGGGGTGAGGATGGAGGGGAGGATGGAAGGGTGAGGATGGAGGGGAGGATGGAGGGATGAGGATGAAGGGGAGGATGGAGGATGGAGGGGTGAGGATGGAGGGGAGGATGGGGAGAAGGATGGAGGATGGAGGGGTGAGGATAGAGGGGAGGATGGAGGATGGAGGGAGAGGATGGAAGGGTGAGGATGAGGGGAGGATGGAGGGGTGAGGATGGAGGTGAGGATGGAGGGGTGAGGATGGAGGGGAGGATGGAGGGGAGGATGGAGGATGGAGGGGGAGGATGGAGCGGTGAGGATGGAGGATGGAGGATGGAGGATGGAGGGGAGGATGGAGGATGGAGGGCAGGATGGAGGATGGAGGGGAGGATGGAGGGGAGGATGGAGGGGAGGATGGAGGGGAGGATGGAGGATGGAGGGGAGGATGGAGGATGGAGGGGGAGGATGGAGGATGGAGGGCAGAATGGAGGATGGAGGGGAGGATGGAGGGGTGAGGATGGAGGATGGAGGGGAGGATGGAGGATGGAGGGCAGGATGGAGGATGGAGGGGAAGATGGAGGGGAAAATGGCATACTGTTGTACGTTGGAGGAGCTGCAGGTCTTCACTGCCCATCTCTAATAGACTGGCAGAAGCTGTCTATCTCTATTTCAGAGCTGCGTATCTCTGTGGCATATCCACATGCTCTAAGTCTGCTTTCACCCCTCTGACAGAATATACTTTTAAAAACTAAAACTAAGTTTTAAGTAAGAAGTAGGCATTGGTCTGAAGCCGAAAAAGAAAGGAAATTCACATGAGCACCACAATGCCTACTCCACCCATGCTCTACCAAGGTTTCGGTAATAATAATTAATTCATATCTTTTATATTTAGATATTGCATATTTGATATCTAATAGTGATTTGATTGTACTGTCATCATCAAGGACCAAATCAGTTTTCTCACTAACGGTTGTGCTCATTTACGCATTCATTTCCGTTGATATAGGTATAACCCTCATACGTCTTGAAGAATAGATTAGATTTAGTCATCTAGAAAATAGTCCTTCTATGTAGGCCATGAGCCATGAGACTTGAGCGCCATGCACAGCGTTTCACTTAGTGAATGAGAGCAATGATGCAATGTTATTGTGTGGATCTGTATGTCAAAAGGAAACCTTTGGGTGGAAAATTTAATGGATTAAAAGGTTCCTTTCGCTAAAGACATTTTCTCATTAGTTAGGATTACATGTTTGGTGATTGGTACCGTAGCTACTTCTCTAAACTCTCTCAACTCTGTGATTAGTGCCTGTGTGTCAACAGGTCAACAGTGTGAACAGTGTATGAACTTACTCCAAGTGTATGAACTCCGAGTCTAACATACTCACATCTACACATATTGCCTTGTTTATAACTGTAGAATTACATAGAAAATGTAACATTGGAATATTTAAACTATTTTGAATTGTTGTCTAGTAGTTTGTTAAAATTACATTTCAGGTGGCTTTGGAGGTATTTGTAGGATGCACACACGCAGCATTCATGGTCGAAATAATCCATATCTTAGTCGACACGCATGCAAAATAGAATAAAAAAGAGTTGACTGGGAGCAAAATGATACTACATTTAGTAATATAAATTAAATGACCAGCAAAGATCCTACAAATGAGACTCCAGTTTAGATCGTATGGAAATCTGTAGCTATAGCAGTTCTAAAGGTATACCTGTGTATGAACCTGTCCTGGTACAAGGTGTTCAGAGGTGTGTAGCGAGGGAGTGCCTGTGAGGCAGTGCTCCTTACCTGTATCTGGTCAGTAGAACTCCCTGAGAAGTCCCTTACAGCAAGCTGTATTTCCCAGACACCCCTACTGAGCTGTCACCCAGAGCTGGTGTGTGGAGAAATGAGGCTGTGGAACTGGATACTGGAGAAAGACTATCTGGTCCAGTTCGTAGCTCAGGGAGGGAGGGAGGGAGAGAGAGAGAGAGAGAGAGAGAGAGAGAGAGAGAGAGAGAGAGAGAGAGAGAGAGAGGAGAGAGAGAGAGAGAGGAGAGAGAGAGAGAGAGAGAGAGAGAGAGAGAGAGAGAGAGAGAGAGAGAGAGAGAGAGAAGAGAGAGAGAGAGAGAGAGAGAGAGAGAGAGAGAGAGAGAGAGATGGTAGCAGGCTGCCAGTGAGATAGTGACAGTGATAATAAGAAATCATGAGGAGAAGAAGACTGTTGGGAGGGAGAGAGAGAGTGAGAAAAGGAGAGATAGTGAGTGAGAGACAGAGAGGGGATAGGAGGATCGCAGTAGGCATCAGTTTCCTCCTCAGTGTTCCATTTTCTCACAGAGGTTTCTATTGAAAGCTCCCAGCTGCTGAGTGAATCAGTGAAAAGGACAAAGGGATGCTGATAGAGGGGAAGCTGCCTGGGAGAGCAACTGGAGAAAAGCATGGGCTTACAGGAATCTGTGGAGGGAGTTTATGGATTGTAATATTGTCTCTTTTGTGTCCCAGGCCCGAGTGAGCAGGTTAAAACCATGTTGCCCCTCTCATGGCTCTACTCTCCAGCCCCAGCCCCAGGGAGGGCACTGCTGCTTGGGGGAAGTTAGTTAGCTGCTGCCTGGTGCTGTTGCTGGCTGAGATGTGAACCCTGCCCTGGTATCAGATTGAAATGGCATGGCGCCCAGACTCATTATCAGGCTGATTAACCACAGTAATTAACTGATATTAGAGAGCGAGAGGGAGACACTTAGGCCAGCTAACATCCTTTTCTCTGTCCAGCTGCCCATGAAGATTTGGTGGTGCTGCTGCTGCTGATGAAACAAATGATGAAAACAGACCATGTTGAGAGCAGTGTAGTAGACTTAGTAGTGAACAATCTTTATAACACAATTTCACAAAATAGAACAGGTATGGGAGTTTCATTACCAGATGACAAAGGTCAAAATATATTTTTCAAACGCACGGTGGCACTCATATGGCTGGGGGAGTGTGAAACAGACAGAGGGCTATAGGAACTAAATGTATGAGATCTTGCAGTAATATTTATATTCCATTCCATTAGAAATGGGTCCTTGCGTCAAATATTATATCGTTAGACCCCGAGCCTGGAAAATCAAGTTTTGCTAATTAGCTTATAATTCTGGAATCATTTAGTTGGAGGGAATGTTGTTCCTATACCTTAGAAATCATTCAACCCCCAAGTGACAGAACCATCGATAGCTACAGTTGAAGTCGGAAGTTTACATACACTTAGGTTGGAGTCATTAAAACTTGTTTATCAACTACTCCACAAATGTCTTGTTAACAAACTATAGTTTTGGCAAGTCGGTTAGGACATCTACTTTGATCATGACACAAGTAATTTTTCCAACAACTGTTTACATACAGATGATTTCATTTATTATTCACTGTATCACAATTCCAGTGGGTCATAAGTTTACATACACTAAATTGATTGTGCCTTTAAACAGCTTGGAAAATTCCAGAAAATGATGTAATGACTTTAGAAGCTTCTGATAGGCTAATTAACATCATTTGAGTCAATTGGAGGTGTACCTGTGGATGTATTTCAAGGCCTACCTTCAAACTCAGTGACTCTTTGCTCAACATCATTGGAAAATCAAAATAAATCAGCCAAATTGTAGACCTCCACAAGTCTGGTTCATCCTTGGGAACAATTTCCAAACGACTGAAGGTACCACATTCATCTGTACAAACAATAGTACGCAAGTATAAACACCATGGGACCATGCAGCCATCATACCGCTCAGGAAGGAGACCGTTCTGTCTCCTAGAGATTAACGTTCTTTGGTGCGAAAAGTGCAAATCAATCCCAGAACAACAGCAAAGGACCTTGTGAAGATGCTGGAGGAAACAGGTACAAAAGTATCTATATCCACATTAAAATGAGTCCTATATCGACCCTCCGGAGTGGCGCAGTGGTCTAAGGCACTGCATCGCAGTGCTAGCTGTGCCACTAGAGATCCTGGTTCGAATCCAGGCTCTGTCGTAGCCGACCGGGAGACCCATGGGGCGACGCACAATTGGCCCAGCGTCGTCCAGGGTAGGGGAGGGAATGGCCGACAGGGCCACCTGTGTATGAAGCGGAGACTGCTCAGTTGGTAGAGCATGGTGTTTGAAACACCAGGGCTGTGGGTTCGATTCCCACGGGGGGCCAGTATGAAAATAAAAAAATAATGTATGCACTGGAAAAGAGCGTCTGCTAAATAATGTAAATGTACCTGAAAGGCCGCTCAGCAAGGAAGAAGCCACTGCTCCAAAACCGCCATAAAAAAGACAGACTACGGTTTGCAACTGCACATGGGGACAAAGATCATACTTTTAGGAGAAATGTCCTCTGGTTTGATGAAACAAAAATTGAACTGTTTGGCCATAATGACCATCGTTATGTTTGGAGGAAAAAGGTGGTCGCTTGCAAGCCGAAGAACACTATCCCAACCGTGAAGCACAGGGGTGGCAGCATCATGCTGTGGGGGTGCTTTGCTGCAGGAGGGACTGGTGCACGTCACAAAATAGATGGCATCATGAGGAAGGAATATTTTGTGGATATATTGAAGCAACATCTCAATCAGTCAGGAAGTTAAAGCTTGGTCGCAAATGGGTCTTCCAAATGGACAATGACCCCAAGCATACTTCCAAAGTTGTGGCATAATGGCTTAAGGACAACAGAGTCAAGGTATTGGAGTGGCCATCACAAAGCCCTGACCTCAATCCTATAGAAAATGTGTGGGCAGAACTGAAAAAGTGTGTGCAAGCAAGGAGGCCTACAAACCTGACTCAGTTAGACCAGCTCTGTCAGGAGGAATGGGCCCAAATTCACCCAACTTATTGTGGGAAGCTTGTGGAAGGCTACCCGAAACATTTGACCCATGTTAAAGAATTTAAGGGCAATGCTACCAAATACTAATTGAGTGTATGTAAACTTCTGACCCACTGGGAATGTGATGAAAGAAATAAAAGCTGAAATAAATCATTCTCTGTTCTATTATTCTGAGATTTCACATTCTTAAAATAAAGTGGTGATCCTAACTAACCTAAGACAGGGAATTTTTACTAGGATAAAATGTCAGGAATTGTGAAAAACTGAGTTTAAATGTATTTGGCTAAGGTGTATGTAAACATCCGACTTCAACTGTACATGAATAAATCCCATCAATAGCTACATGAATAAATAAACTGAAAAAAAGGATGATATGCTCTATGCATTCAAGAATTTATTGAAATATGTTGGTCTCTTTTCGCTGAGATTTCCGTAACAGTCTTGGTTTCAGGTTCAGCGGGAAAGAAGGGGCCAGGAGTTGCTTTTAAATATTGAAGTTCCCCTGTTCATGCCCTGGGTAAGTGTCCCCATTTCCTAACTTCATAATTACATATGGTAACTCAGTTAACAATACATTGTACATGCGTGTCACTGCTAACTTAATAGAGAGGACAGTCAACAGCTGGTGAAGGACAGTACAGGTACAATGTCTGGCTGCGTCCACACAACATTTTAATAGTTCATTAAAATTAAATGTTCAGGGAGTCGTGACCTTGGTTTTCAGTAGCCAACTAGCAGCTTCTTGATATGTACTCTATTGTATGTTGATAGTCGTCTTAGCAAGCTGTTTACCAGACATGACTTGTCATGCTTGTTAATCCTTATATGGCTGATTGTCTGATTGTCTGATTGTATGATTGTCTGATTGTCTGATTGTCTGGATGCTCTCTGTACTCCACCTGTGTATGAAGCGGAGACTGCTCCCAGTGCTCGGCAAAAGCTTATGCTAATTTTATTCAAGTGCGGGAGCTCAAATTCAATAATTAGAGATTAATTCAAAGTGTTAAAGGCAGTTTATGTTTGTGCTTGCTCAGGCTGTAAGTAAATGCTTCACTGTCTCAATGATTAGGAACTTTGAAAAACAAGCTTTGAAAGCTTTTTAATTAGGCTATTAGGAATGAACTCAACTCATGCTTTTGATGGAGCAGCTAGCATGAGTTTGCTAAAAGCCTGCTGCATCAGAAAATCTCATTTGATCTGAATTGTGTTGGGAATAGCAGATACTGTAGGTCTCTGTGGGGGAAATTGAAAGATTGGGACACTTGGACTGTAGTATAAATGACAGTTGTTTTTACCAAGAACATACTAGGGTCTCTTTAATATAACAAATCAAAATTATATAATTTTCAGTTCCATTTAAAATGTCCTCTGTTCTGCACATTTGTAATGACTGTTTCCCCCAGCATTTTCTCTTCCTATTCTAGGACTTGGGTAACAAAAATACTGTATTTATTTATGTTTCACCATCTAATGTTCCATTTATTTTCCTGGAATTTGTTTATTTCTTGCTGGAACATACACTCCCGGTCAAAAGTTTTAGAACACCTACTCATTCAAGGGTTTTTCTTTATTTTTACTATTTTCTACATTGTAGAATAATAGTGAAGACATCAAAACTATTAAATAACACATATGGAATCATGTAGTAACCAAAAAATTGTTAAACAAATCAATATATATTTTAGATTTGAGACTCTTCAAATAGCTACCCTTTGCCTTGATGACAGCTTTGCACACTCTTGACATTCTCTCAACCAGTGTGTGTGTGTGTGTGTGTCATTGAGTAGGAAGGATAATTGTGATGCGTGTGATAGAAGGAGTCAGGCGCAGGAGAGTAATACGCATCCAAAGAGTTTATTCTGTCGATAAACAGTTGCGCAAACATGCGACAACAAAACTCAGGCACAGGGGAAATATCTACCCTGGCAACAACAAGGTAAGGGTAGCTCAACCGAGCTACACACAGCTCACTACAAACAATCACCCACACAGACAAAGAAGCAGAGGGAACACTTATACAATGACTAATTGGGGATAAGGACCAGGTGTGTGTGATTAATTAGACA